CACAGCGGTGATGTCTGTGATAAGGATGAGAACACAGGTCACTCGACCCGTCTTACGGCGGAAAGGAAGAACACATACACCACCTCCAGATCGGGGACCAATTTCGCGGATCTTCCGAGTCGTCCGGCAGCCATGTTACAAGGAAAAGATTCTTGACCTTCTTCGCCTTTTCCGGATCATCGAGTATAGCATGATCCGCAGGGAGACCTTCGAGGACGGGCGTGAGGGCCGTCTCGAACTTGACGTAGCCAGCCTTTGAGAAGCCACGGAACTCGTCGGTGCGCGCGCGGGACGGTCTACTCAAATCAGCTCGTGTTGAGTCGTGACTGCGACTTCGAATGAGGGCAAGCTCGATTTCAGGAGCAATCGTCGTCATCGACGAGACTATAATCAGACGTGACGGGATGATGCAGGGCCAGCAGTCCAAAACCTGCTCCAAGGCATTCGGTGCGGATGACATGAACGATCTGCTGCCAGTTATGACGGATAGCCGAGAGTAGTGTCACGAGACAATCGTCCATGCACTAGATGATTTTCGTGCAGGGAGCCGGCGCTCGTGTCGGTCGCTTGGCGTACAACTCGTATTTCTCCTACTGGTGTCGATGGAATGGAAGAAAACGGAAGAAGAGGGAAAGTGGAAAGTAAAATGACCAGGGTAAAAAGACTGGCCATTATCGAAAATATATAGGTTAAAGGGCGCTACAGCCAAGTGAGTTTGAGCCGAGCAGGAAGAGAATTGACGAGGCCTGGGAACGTGCAGGCAGTGCGGCCCAAGGATGCACCATCACGCGTACACGGCGCCAATCGGCATAGGAGCTGGCAGTATCACGTGATGGCGGCTCAAAGATGCCTTTGTGGGCGTTGTTGCTTCTCGAAAGTGGGTCGCCCAATCGCCACAAGATCGCGCTTTTTGAATGTACAGACATTCATATAGACTACGACAGGCGGACCACTTCAATTCGCTTTGTTGTCGAACATGAAAAAGATTTGGGACCCACAACGACAAGCATGACTCACTGCAATAGCCATTGTCTGAGGTCGCCGTGTCCCGATCTCGGGTTAGACGGGATCCACGCCATCACGCAAAAACATTCACCCAGATCTCCCAGTGCCAGCTCACGGCATGCTTAAAGCACTGTAACCGCAACGCAACAACAATTAGGTCGACAACCCCAAACACCAGTAGAATCTCCCGTCCGGACCACTGCGTAATAAGCAGCAAAAACTCGAAGAACATGTACAAAAATGATAATCAAAAGAGCGCTGTGCTGATGTTATTAAGGTATGCGACATTTGATCTCCACACCCCTTATGTAAGCTTCGATCACTTCCCATCACGATTGTATCTCCTCTCACATTTTTTTCTCAATAAGAAAATCATTTTAGGGAAATGTAGATACTGAGCCCACAATGTGTTCCATTAAAAATTTTAGATGAAATTCCTTGAAATGACTGAGTAGTTGCCAGATTAAGTTTTCTACCAGAAATGTACTCTACATGCAATATTGATCCATTTGCGAGGGGTTTACCTTCTGGGCAGTCGAGGATTTGGCAGTCACGTGTGATCACGTGATATACCATATATGGTATTCATCCCATTTAGGAAGCGCAGGAGTGACCCTGACAGAAGCTGCACAAACCCGACAAAATTACGACAAAATGCCAAGGAAGAGCAGACTCACTGTAGCCCAGCAAAAGAGAGCACAGAAAGCTCGTGAAATCCGGCTGCAAAAATTGAATAAAGTGAGTGGTTTCATTTCGAAACATACCGCCAATGTCGCTGAATTCAAACATATGATGGAGCTTAATCCCACAATTCCCGTTGCTCACGAGCCAGCAACAGATGCGCCAGATTCCGACCTGGAGGATGATGAAGATGAGGCACCTATGCTGAAAGATGTTGAGCAGTTTTTTCTGGATTCGGACGACGACTCTGACCTGGATGACAACTCCGAAGAGCTGGCCTTCACTGAATCTTGGGCCCGTCAGCCTTCTGCACTGGAAACATTTACGAGGACACTACATAACGCACATGAAGCTGCATTGAAGGCACAGAGGGAACAAGAAGCTCGTCGGGTCCGTCCGAAACAATACAAAATCCGTCCGTCAAAACGAACCATGTATCGTCATAAGCAACAAGCTCGAATTCTCGAATCTAAAGGATATCTCTCTGTTGCTGATTTTATGGAATACAAGCGCAGGGAGGTTATCACAAAAACAGTCACCCGAGTTGCAGACAACGTGCGAACTGGGATTTCTGCCGGCGAGAACGCTACCCTACAGCAAGCAACACATGCAGTTATCGAAGAGGCAGCTCGACGTGCAGCTGACCTACTGGAGTCAAAGGAGGCTGCCGAAAATGCACGAATTGCTGCTGAGCATGCAATGAGAGTTCGGGAGGAAGCTGAACGCACAATTGCGGCACAATACGCCACATGCGAGTCGGATTCGGAGCCACAGGAAGCTGCCGCCGCCGCAATGGATGCTGCAGCTGTTGCAGATCGCGCTGCAGTTATTGCGTCGATGCTCGCTGATGTTCGTGCAGGTCGTAAACCTGTGGATCCAACAGACATAGGACTCGAAACCAAAGAAGACGTGCAACTGAACACATGGCAGGATCGTCCGGCCCTCTTTCGCGCACAGGCTCACCTTAAAGTCAAGTCGAAGGACCATAAATTGGACGTGATCTTCCGCGCACGAATCAGCGGAATGCTTGCAACACTCAATTTTTTCCTTGATCCCAACTTGACCTTCACCTGGCGCGAAGCATCACTCATGGCTTCAAAGGCTCAGGGTGGAGGTGAATGGCATGCACGGATTTTACGCACCTGGCTGCACGAATATCTTAAAAGTGGACCTGCACGGAAGCTGCCGTTGCACCGATATGGAAGCGCACATTCAACGGTCCTCATCGATGAGGATATCTCGTCTACCTTACAGCTCGCGCTTGTCGAAAAGGTCAAATCGGGATACTTGACAGCGCAGACGCTTGTCGAGCTTGTTGCGAGTGAGGAGATCCAGATGAAGCTGGAGGCAGCAAACATCCGAAAGCGATCGATCTCGCTGAGAACAGCTCAATGCTGGCTGAAACACTTCGGGTGGCGGTATGAACACGTGCGTAAAGGGATGTACATCGACGGCCATGAGCGCGATGACGTTGTTGCCTATCGTCAGGAATTTTTAGGGCGATGGAAGGAATATGAAAGACGGATGGTCACTTACGATAGCGAGACTGGCGAACCCACCTTTCCCAAAGGTTTCCCTATCACACCTGGCACCCCCTTTCGCCTCATTCTCATCACGCAAGATGAATGCACGTTCTATGCAAACGATCAGCCCGCGTAGGCTCCTGGTGGAAACTGTCCGCAGGTTGAACGCGTTCCAAAATAGCCGTACGCAGCACGTCTTGCACGCAGTCCACGTGCAAAAACTACTGAGCCCCGCAACAGCTTTTCGGTATTTGGAACGCGAAAAGGCTCCTGAGAGGGGAGCTTCTATAGCTAAGGTGCTAGCTGAACACGCTAGTTCAGAAGCTGGAACTTTATAGGTAGCGCCAAACGTGGCCGGGACTTGTCGTGGGCCGTTAGGAGCAGCGGTAGCCACTCTGCTGGGGTTAGTCTGCAGTCTTTCAGCCTTTGGTACTACCTGACCGGGAGAGGAAACCCTTCTCCACAACCGTAACAGCTCTCCACTAAGGTATGCTCAAAGGCAAAAAAAAAAAAAAAAAAAAAAAAATTGCAGCACTCTATATTTTGGATTTGACTCTACATTTTCATTCACTTACTTATAATGCTTCTGTCTCACAGTTGGAATCAGGTGGTATAGTGTAGTGGTTATCACTCAGGATTTTGAAGTGGTGTTTTCAGACTTTCCTGAAACCCAGGTTCGAACCCTGGTACTACCTTCATTCTGGTATAGTCTAGTTTTTTGCTTTTTTTGTTTTTTATCCCACTATGTATCATGAAAGACTGGAGAAAGTGATGTTGCACTGGCAGCGATAATGACACCACCAGCGAGGCACAACGGCGAGCAACGTTGCAACACCGCATAATGAACAGTCTAACCCCACTACATGCTTCTATTGATTGATTTGCAAGCTGACGAAAAAAATTAGTAGTTCTATGGATGTTTAAAGGATTGGGAGAAACAGGTTTAATCTATGTATGCAGTTGTTGAATGGATAAGTGTGTATGTCAAGTGTCCAGAACAGTTCATCACAGGAAGAAGGAAATCATCATCTGTCTAAACTCTAGGAGGTTGATTCTGGAAGGGTAACATGCAAATAATTCATAAAAGGTTGTTCATCCGTGCGACACCCCAAAGTGCATCGATGCGCCTGGATAACTATCGTTGCAAAGGAAATGGCTTGCAACACTGCGTGCATCCAGGATCACACGGAAGCGCGCTTTGACTTCGCGCGAATAGATTTGCCAAAACGATAGAACAAGAACGGGATTGGAATCTATGGGAAACAGAGGTAGTTGAGCGGGAGAACGACACCGGAAAACGCGATGATGTATTCACCATGGCTAACGATACAAATCCGAGCAAAGAAGCAGCCCAATTATTACCGAGTCCATGAAACATTTGCACCATGAACAACGGCATCGCGGCGCCTGCGCCCGAGCGCACGACCTGAGGCTCCATCAGTAAGCCGGTAGGCTACCAAAGCAAGATCGAACGTACTGTTTTTGCGGCCAGCGCAGAAGCTACGTATCCAGGGAAAGCATCAATGAGGTATGCGTTTGCAGAGAAGTAAACCAGAACCACTGCAAGGTCCACTGTTAGAAACATGGCAAAGCACCAAAATGAATACACACTTCCAAAACCGAACGGAATGCCAGCGCTACAAGGACCAACCCAGCTACCCCCACCGGGCATGAGCACTGGAGGACTGGTCCAACCGAAGATGAAGAGCGCTGAAGGAAGAGAAAATGTTAACGACAGGAATTTTTCATTTGCTTAATGGCAACGTACCCATTGGAACGAAGGGACCGCCAATCATGGTACCGACAAGACGGTCCTCAGGTTCAGCGATACCACCTTTAGCTGCAGCACGCCTCAAATAGTCCTTCTCTAGGTACGGCGTCACAAGCAAGGCGATGGAGAGCCCAATGAACACAGAGCAGAACATCAGACCGACCAAACCATCGTGATATCCGTAGTCTTCGCCGAACACGACAGGAAAGCTGAAAAAGAACGCGTACAGCAGGCCGTAGATGAGCGCGACGAACAGAGACATCAAAAGCAAGATGGGCTCCGTGGCAAGCATTTCTATAAACACTGAGCCAACGTTGCAGAACAAGCAACGAAAGATGTACACACGGAAGGGACGGACGAGAGTATCGGTGAGCAGGTCGGCAAAGCTGGTCCTGAAGATTTCTTGCTCAGTCACAATGTCATCACGATCAAGCTTTTGGCGGAGTCTGGCCGCACGCCTGCGCAACAGAACCGGTGCATAGGTCTCCGGGATGGACATCTGGAAGAGCACCGTGACACCAGAGAAGATCATGTTGATCTGCGCTTCGTGTCGGACAAATACGAAACGAAAAAAAAAAAACAAAATTACACACCCAGAGAATCCACCGCCAACCCAGTGCATCGCCGATGAAGCCGCCAATAAGAGGACCAAGGGCAGCACCACCATAAGGGGCAGCTGCGAACAGGGCAATGGCAAACCCACGTTCATTGTTATCCCAGATGTCGCTGATGGTACCGCCTGCTAGTGTGAGTGGTCCAGAAGCAAATACGCCACAGAAGAACCGACATATTAGAAGAGTTTCAATGTTTTTGGCGTATGCACAAGGAATACTGAACACTACAAAATCTTGTCAATGCTCTGTTCGCAATACTGGATGACACACACGCACATATGTATGCCAAAGAAGGTATGGTCCATAACAGACGTCGGCCATATAACTCGCTGAAGGGCGAAATTAATAATGGACCAATACTGTGGACAGATCGATCAGACGACACGACTTATAAGCATGGTATAGAGACGTACCCGAAACCAACGACCATCAGCGATACACTCAATGCTGTGACAACTTCGCCGACATGGAATTCTTTCTCGATGCCGTCGAAGTCTCCTGTAATGACAGCACTAGAAAAAGCCACAGAAATGACAGATATCGCAGCCACAGCGGTGATGTCTGTGATAAGGATGAGAACACAGGTTACTCGACCCGTCTTACGGCGGAAAGGAAGAACACATACACCACCTCCAGATCGGGGACCAATTTCGCGGATCTTCCGAGTCGTCCGGCAACCATGTTACAAGGAAAAGATTCTTGACCTTCTTCGCCTTTTCCGGATCATCGAGTATAGCATGATCCGCAGGGAGACCTTCGAGGACGGGCGTGAGGGCCGTCTCGAACTTGACGTAGCCAGCCTTTGAGAAGCCACGGAACTCGTCGGTGCGCGCGCGGGACGGTCTACTCAAATCAGCTCGTGTTGAGTCGTGACTGCGACTTCGAATGAGGGCAAGCTCGATTTCAGGAGCAATCGTCGTCGTCGCGGAGACATCATCTGGCGTGACGGGTTGATGAGTGCCTGCGTCCAATACCTGCTCCAAGGCATTGGGCGGAGACATACGATCTGGTGGATTTATGACGGATGGCGGATAGTAGTGTACGTGCATCGTATTCAAGTTCGTGGAGGGAGCGGCGGTCGTGTGGGTGGCGGCGTCGTCGGACATGGTGTCGACGGAAGGGAAGAAAACGGAAGAAGAGGGAAAATGGAAAGGAAAATGACCAGGGTAAAAAGACTGGCCATTATCGAAAATATATAGGTTAAAGGGCGCTACAGCCAAGTGAGTTTGAGCCGAGCAGGAAGAGAATTGACGAGACCTGGGAACGTGCAGGCAGTGCGGCCCAAGGATGCACCATCACGCGTACACGGCGCCAATCGGCATAGGAGCTGGCAGTATCACGTGATGGCGGCTCAAAGATGCCTTTGTGGGCGTTGTTGCTTCTCGAAAGTGGGTCGCCCAATCGCCACAAGATCGCGCTTTTTGAATGTACAGACATTCATATAGACTACGACAGGCGGACCACTTCAATTCGCTTTGTTGTCGAACATGAAAAAGATTTGGGACCCACAACGACAAGCATGACTCACTGCAATGGTCATTGTCTGAGGTCGCCGTGTCCCGATCTCGGGTTAGACGGGATCCACGCCATCACGCAAAAACATTCACCCAGATCTCCCAGTGCCAGCTCACGGCATGCATAAAGCACTGTAACCGCAACGCAACAATAATCAGGTCGACAACCCAAAACACCAGTAGAATCTCCCGTCCGGACCACTGCGTAATAAGCAGCAAAAACTCGAAGAACATGTACAAAAATGATAATCAAAAGAGCGCTGTGCTGATGTTATTAAGGCCTGCTACAAAATGGTAACTGTTGATGATCTATCTACTGTCCGAAATGCTCCATGATATACAACCCGGGCTCACCCGCCGGAAGATATAAGACGTCACAACATAACTAAAGCAAACACCGCTCTCGGCGGGCATAGATGGTTTTGCTTGCATGTACAAGCCTTGTCTTTCCACGAGGAATAGACTCAAGCGAATAGCGATTCGAATCGGCGAATACACGAGTTGTCGTGATAATCTGGATGGATCGTGTCAACGCCCAAAACGAAGCAGCACGAAGGCTACGCACCAAACGAATCACTGGGATTACAAGCACAGCGTCCTGCCCCCCACAGCTCGCCAACAGGACACCGCTGAATTTGCTCGTGTCTGTAGCCAATGTCACGAAAGAAATGCACTTGGTCTTTCCTCGCGAACAAAGATGCTGCCATACTGTGTATTGGTGCATCTCCCCAACGCTGTTGTAAAAAGCAGATATTAGCAAGGGAAACGAAATACATGATGGACGGTAACGATAAACTGTGAATATAGGTCGAACCAGCGTACAAAAAGCGATTCGTGAGAGGGCAGCAGACAAGGCAAGAAAGACGAGCGGAAATATTGAAAAGCAAAGAAAAAAATAAGTCGCACCTCGTAATAGAAGCCTCCCTTCGCTTCTAGGTAGTTGAAAAACGCCTGGTATTGCTCGCCCCGCCAGAAGTCCATGTCTGCGATCTCGAAGTTACTCCAATCTGATAAGCATAGAGTGTAATCAGTATCAACTCGGGTAACTCAATGTGAGATGGGAGAGGTCATATGTCACAGCACTGAACGCAGCAACCGCGCGCCGAGTAGCGACAGCATGCGAGCTTCCAAGCAGGCATCCAGGCATAACGCTCACGACGCCCAACCGCGGCATACACGGATAGAGCAACTGCCACATTAACTCATTAGACCGTCAACGGGTCTGAACGTTATCGGACACGCTGCTAAAGAACCAGGTACAGCAACCTAGCGCCATCTCCGTACGTTGGAGATTGTTAAAACAACAGCCGAGTCTCCTGCAAGGTGCGGCCGCTAGGTAGCTCGCAAAAGCGCCCAAGCATTCGTCAAATAACGGCGTCGATGCCACTTCTCACCACCTGCGGCTCCTCGAAGAACAAAAAAAAGAACTTACAATGGCACAAATTGTAATTCTCTCCACCATTGTCGGATAAGAAATCCATCGAGTTCTGCGGGGAGACGTATTCGGGATGTTCCTCGATAAATTCTGCCACAGAAAATGCGTAAACATCGAATGATAGCCTCAATAGAAGCACGCATGGGCAACGGTACAGTTGAGTAACAAAAGCGCGCAGGGATCTAGAGCCGTGGCCAGACGAAACGTGGCAGGGGCGCATGGGCAGAAGATGTCGTGAGAACAAAACTTACCTTTGACCGTGCTCCATAGCGACGGGATTGTCGGTTCCCATTCGTAGAGTGAAATAACAAACCCTGTAGATTGTCTGTTAGCAAACCGACAGGTATGGCGGAACCAGGAA